TCCAGTTGTACAGTCTGTCCTCAGGCAAATCTCCCATTGAGCACAGTTGGGAGATTTTGTCTGAGCAGGAGTTGCTGGATGGGACGCTCTGTGATTTGTAAGCAGCTGTAAATAGTTGTTGCATGTAACTGTTTGTAATTTGTATCTAGAACAAGCAACTCAGGGATTCCTGGCGTGTGGGCCTTCCACATTGGCAGCACCTCCCCGCTGGACAACGTCATGCCAGCTCAAGTTGGCGAAAAGCCTTCCGTGGGGCATTCCCGGCAACCTCTGGAGAGCATGCTCAGCAGTGCCACCTTGGAGCAGAACGTCCTGGAGGCTGACTATCCTGAGGAGGACACAGACTACGCCGAGCCCTTCTACGACGAGAACGAAGAAGACGACGTTGAGTACCCGACCGAGCTGGTGCCTGATGTTTACACGAGACTTGATTTGTACAGCGAGCCAAGACGCTCCGGGGCCAGGCTGGGTTCGGAGCTGGAATCCACGTTGCCGTATCCGGCGTCCAGCCGTCACCCGGCCTCTCCTGAAATGCATGGGACGAAGGAAGGGCCATCCCAGGCGCCTCCTGCATTGGAAGATGAAGTGGAGTCCTCCCAAGAAACAGGAATCCGAAACCCGTCCTCACTAGAGACCAAGGACAGCCTGCTGGAGCTAACGACCCAGGGGCTGCCAGCAAACACTGAGCAGGACAATGTCCAGCCCTACCCAGACAGTGGCACTGTACTGTCCGAGACAGACATCTTTCCAGTCTACCCACAGGGGGAGGTCATGCATCAGGGCTACCCAGAGAACTCCCCTCCCTTTAATCGTGGGAGGCAGGTAGTTGGTGTGGACGAAGACGGCAGCTTTAACCAGGAGGGTAAGTGATGTGAACCCAAAGTGTCCATAATTGATTTCCAACTGTTGGGTTTCTTTGTAGCTAACAACATTTAAAGCACTCTTCACCGGAAAGACTCGTTTGTTGATTAGGACCTGAGTGAAATTAAGATCCATCGAGCCAGAACCTTCACTAGTGTAAACTGGCATCAACCGCATTGAAGCCAGCTGGACTTCCACTGGAGTCCGGGGAGCGACGCCGATTTGCACCAGCTGAGGAGGTGGCCCATAGCGAGCGATTTAACTTGGCGATGTCCCGCGGAATTTAAAATCTTGTATCCACTGAGCAATAAATGACCTTCGCCCCAGCAGTGTGAACTGAAAGCAGAGTGACACTAAGTGCTGATACCCTTAACTAGAGCAGGAATTCAGCTATATTAACGGGAAGGGAGATTTAGCTTAAGGTTTGGCGTGGGGAAGTACAGATAATGCAGGGGCATTGTTATTTTGGGAGGGGATCACTGTATAATCCTACGCCGGCTTTGGGCGAGAGAGATTTCTCCACCACAGGGAACTATCTGCTGAGACGACACATTTTACACATGCTTGTAATAGTCAGAAATCTTATTGTTTAACTTCCTGCAGCAAAGGTGTGAGGGGCCACCCCGGCTCCCAAAAGGCAGGGGAGCCGTGTGAACTCTTAGGGGGATTAGATGATCCAGAACAGAGCGAACTCCAAGTTTACTTCTGCTTTCATTCATACTCCACAAGGACCAGGTGGAGGAGGCGAGATTATCTGAGCGTTTTGGAGACGTTTTAAGGCCATGGTAACAGGGCCGAATCCCTTGGTCCTACATCGGGGAAGGTGGGCGGGAACGTGGGAGAAGGTAATAAGTCACAGCGGGAGGTAACGTCTTTGTGTGAGAAGCTTGCATTGGCTGGCCCATTGCGCTTGTCTGTCCCTATGACAGCTGGTACAAGCCGTGGGGAGCTCTGCCAGACCTCCTCCTGAGTTGTGAGGAGCTGAGTGACGGGGAAGGAGAGTAAGGAGTTGTTATTAATGTGCAGAGAGAGAGAGAGCTGGGCTGGGGGTTCCAGCCTTTCTGAAGTATGAGGCATGATGTTTAACAGCTGCTGGATAAAGTACTGTAGCCCGGCTGTTTGGTGAGAAATACAAGCTGCATGAGGAAAAAGTTGCCCAGGAAAAGCAAGAAAATCCAGACGTTGAACCTTTCAGCCATTGCAACGACGGGCAGTTAGGAACTGGCCCTTACCAAGGCAAATGCTTGAGAGCTCCTAGGCAGGCCGTAGTTGTGTGCGCACATACACTGGGCCAAAGTCACCCCAGGGGTGATTGCCCTGAACGCAAGGACTCCGGCTGGTTTATGGCGATTCCCACGAAGGTTGCAGGTTTGTAAGCCACTTCGCTCTAGTGAATGGTGGCATCTGCAAGGGGGTCACGGTCTGGCCTGGGCCCAGGCAATGGTGACGGTGTCTCTCAGTAGCTAGGAGGGATTCTGGTTGGAGTTTTCAGTTGGGGCTAAGGAGTTAGGTGCTAAAATCCCTTTGATCTTCAGTCGGGGTTGAGTGCCTAACTTCCTAAGCCCCTTTGAACCTCCCAGCCTACGTGAATTTTACAACTGGCCTTTCCGACAGTACAGGGTGCTAATTAGGAACATCTCCCCATGTGCACCCTTGAGAATGGCCAGTGGAGGTGCTGGGTTTAATCATTCACACAGTCACCCATCCTATCCCAAGTCTGGGGCAGGGGGGAATTCACCCCTGTGGATGGGGGACACTGGCTGGCTGCAGACCCCCTGGTGGAATAGAGTTTGCAGGTTTCCTGTACCGCTGCAATTCTCCTTGGGATGGATTTTTCCACTACTACATGCCTGGCACCTGGGTAGAACTGGGGAACAGTGGAACACACTGGCTGTGTCTCTCGGGCACCTCTCATCTTGTTCACCAGTGGAACACCTATTGTGTTTTCAGCAGTGGAAAGCGTTTTTAAGACACAGGCCCCGAGCCTGCAGTCCTGCTGCAGGCTAAACTCCCTTTGGAGTCAGTGAGAGCTTTGTCTGCACAGGATTCCCCCCCACCTTGAAGGGACAGCTGTGTTTTCCCACTCCAAACAACGACAGCGAGAGGGCAGATGTTGTCAGATTTCCTTTAAGATCTGAAAGCTTTTGTCCGGGTTTGTACAGCTTCGCTAGTAGAGGGTTGTGCAGCTGGTGACGTGCTAAGGCCTGGTTCCTTACTACGTGCTAACCTGTGCTTTGGATGTAGGGTTCACGTACAATACCGCCAGCAAGGAAACCTGCGAATGGAACCACCACCAGTGCTCCCAGCATGCTTTCTGCACCGACTATGCCACCGGCTTCTGCTGCCACTGCCAGTCCAAGTTCTATGGGAACGGCAGACACTGCTTGCCAGAAGGTAAATTGTAGCGGGCGTTTGCAGAGCTTCTGTCATTGACTTGTTCTTTGAGACTGATCCAAGGTGTTGTGTCCTCTTCCCAGGGGCTGCTCACCGTCTCAACGGTAAAGTCAGTGGGAATCTCCTGGTGGGACAAACGCCTGTACGTTTTAGTGCCGTTGACTTGCATGCCTACATCGTTGGAAACGATGGGAGAGCCTACACGGCCATTAGCCATGTCCCTCCGCCGGCAGCTCGGGCGCTCATGCCGCTGACTCCCATCGGAGGTCTCTTCGGGTGGCTTTTCGCTCTGGAAAAACCAGGCTACGAGAACGGCTTTAGCGTCACTGGTAAGTCACGGTTGAGTACGCAATGCAAACAGGGCGTGGGCCGGGGCCCACTGACCCCCAGGGGAGCCTCTCCTGTTGACTTTGGGGGGCTTTCAAGGAGTGAGAGGGGTGGGGTGGAACAGCTAATCGTCAGGAACGCCCAGTGTCGTCTGACTTCTGCTTGTTTTCACCTTCTAAATCTCCTGAGTTATGGGCCTGGTTCTGTTGATGGAGGAAATGAGTTCTTCTGGGGGATCGTGGCAGGCAGCTGCCTGCCGTGCCCCCCCTCCTGGCCAGGGGTGCTTCTGCAGTGCCCTGCTAACAATTTCTCCCGTCTTCAGGGCTCTCCCGTTACATTCCCTTCTCCCAGGCCCTCCTGGCCAAGCTTCTCTTTCCTTTGCCCATACGGCAAACCAGAACTGCAGCCATCACCGTCACGATTCCCCTGCTGGCCAGAGGCTCTGGCTCCAGCTCACAGCCAGGCCCCCTGCCCCTGGTGGCCTCAGCAACTCTCATGACCCCTGTCACGGCGGCTTCCTGCTGCCCTTCCGGTGGGACCACCTGAGCCAACACAGGTGTAATCAGCCCTGGCTAGGCCTCGGGCCTCTGGCCCGTAAGGGCAAGCCACCCCTGTGACAGGGGTATTAACAGGTTGTCTTGTGTAATGGCTACGTACTTCCCCTCCTCTCCTCACACCCGGTGCCTTTCAGCCTTGAGCACCCTAACCCCCGTTCCTCCTTTTTATTCCCCTTCTGTGACACTCACTGTCCTCTGGCTGGTCTTCTCTGGAGCTCTCCTGAAAGGGCCAGAGGGTTCACTACAGGGGCAAGAGGCATTTTCCCCTCTTGGGACTAAGGCCCGTAGCCAGTGGGAGGTAGGCCCCACGATACCTCCGAGGACTGGCGCGTAAGTGTGCGGTCTCTGGGTGCTCCCAGGCCCCACAGACTTGGAAGCTAAAACACCATGCAGAATCTCCATCTCCATGTGATCCCATTACACCAGCGTTGGCCCAGCCTTTACACCCAAAACATTATTGCCAAAAAATCCGTTCAGTACTTCTGAACTTGGGTTTGGAATCCAAGTGACTAGCAGCGTTAACCTATTCCGTGCTGGGTAACGACTCGGATGATTAGTCTCCCCTCTGTAGATGCATGTGACGTGGTGCTCAGCTTGGGAGGCCGTGTGTGATATTAGCACATGCAGATCTTTAAACCCAGCCTCTTGAATCCAAAGGCTTCAGAAAAGGTCGGTATTATCCGCTCTGGGCTAACGATCTGCTTGTGTTATCGGTCTCAAATATAATCTAAGAATTGGGTAAAAAGATCGTTAGTTTATCCATTAAAACAGCTGAAACAGAGCTTGATTTTCTTCCCTGTTCATTGTAGGTGCTAAATTCACCCACAGTTTGGACGTCACCTTCTACCCAGGAGAGGAGAGAGTCCATATCACTCAAACAGCTGATGGCCTGGGGCCAGAAAATTACCTAAGCATTAAGACACATATTCAGGGCCAGTTGCCTTTTATTCCAGAGAACTTTACTGTCCACATTGCACCGTACAAGGAACTTTACCACTACTCTCACTCAGGTATGATTGGAGGTGCCCGGGATCTCAATCATTGTGTGTTTTGTTTTGCAGAGCAAATGTTGTTAGCCTGTTATTAGCCAGGCTGGCGTGTTTGCCCACAGCATGTTATGCACACTGGAATTCTGCAGCGTTCTGCAGTAACCAGTGGCCATTTTTAAATTTTCCACCGTTATCTGCAGAGAAACTGCTTCCTTGCAGGACGTTCGCTTCCCCTTTTGTTTTGGGGACACCTCCCTTTTCTAGGCAGAAGGACTTGGTGCATTTCCGGGACTCTGTGCCTTATATAACGTCCTCCCCGCCGAAAAGGGCTGGACTGCAGAGATGGAGTCCAAATCCCAGATCAAAATCCTCCCCTGAATTTTGCAGATGGTCTCTGCCTCGCTGAAGGGATCAGCCGAAAGCCAGGAACTGAACAGTCCAGAATATTGGGGTGTTTGGAATCCAGATCTGAGCCCTGACTCGGATTTTGTAGTCTGAGATTGGTGTGGCTGCAGGAGTCACGCTTGAGCGATAGGAAGCCTCCCTCCCATCTCCCCCCCGTGCTGTGCATGCTTGCTTCCTCGTGAAATCACTAGGTTTCCTGCTAGGGTTGCCAACTTGGTAATATTTAAAAATGGACACTCCCGCAAGCATGCCGGAATCTCTCCTGCCCTGCCTTTTCCTCCCTGAGGCCCTGCCTCTGCCCCGCCCCTTCCCCCAGGCCCCGCCCCCATTAGCTCCTCTTTCCCCCTCCCCCTGTCGCTCTCTGCTCGTCCTGGCTTCCCCACCCCGGCCTGGTTAGGAGGGACTCTTCCGCGGAGCTGGGGCTGGGAGCTGCAGCCGCCTGACGCCCATAGGAAGCTGCTCCAGCTGAGTAGGGGCCGGCGTGGGTGATGACCCGGCATCTCCGCCACCCGCAGTAACCGGACTTCGGTTGTCCGGTCAGTAGATCTGACCGGACGCTGTCAGGTCTGCTTTTCGACCGGACTTTCCTGTCAAAAACCGGGCACCTGGCCACCCTATTTCCTGCATGGCAGTGCTGAGGGCTAACCAGAGGCCACTGGCCCAAGCCCGGTGCTCACATCTCCAGTGAGTGAAAGTATCATGGTCATCAGTGCACAGAATTAGTCTGTGAAAACACGTTGTATTTACTCCTTTCTTCATTCTCTCCCCCACCCCTTCTCCATTGCGTGGGTTCATCCACCTGCTGTGGCATTACTCCTTGGAGCAGGGACTCCAGGTCTGGAAATTGCCCAGCCCAACAGGGCCTGGATCCGTGATTGGAGCCTCTAGGAGCTGCTGTGGTGCAAATAATAATAATTCATCAAGCTACCGCATGCTTGTGTGACCCGGGTCCTTGGCACTGTTTTGCAGCCGTGACTTCCACAGCTTACCGGCAGTATTTCCTCACCTTTGGGAGTATCAACCAGACCTTTGCCTACCAACTGCACCAGAACATCACCTTCCACGACTGCCCGCCCGCCCGCCACCACAGGGACGTTCCTGCCGTCCAGCAGCTGAGCGTGGATCGGATCTTCGCTTTGTACAACGACGAGGAACGGGTCCTGCGCTACGCCATCACCAACCAGATTGGTTCCAGAGAAGGTGAGCTCTACCGAGTCATTCTCGACTCAGTTGGCCTGTTGAAAGTAGGGGCCGAATTCCCTGCCGGTGCAAAACCCCTGCTTTCAGCGTGGCCTAAAATAGTATGAGGGAAGATGGGTGTCAGTCTAATGTGACTACAGGCCCGGCTGTGAGTGGAGTGGTGAGCTGCACCACCGGGGCTAGACCTGAGAGGCCTTGTGTCACTGAGTCACAACCCTCCCCTGCTTCCCCTGGGTCCCTGGGGGTTGTGATTTCCTGGCAGTGTATTGTACCACCTCCTGCACTGGCTAGGCTGGGCAAGGTGGAGTCAAAGCTCTCTGTTTGTCTGCTCTAGGAGGGTGGTGAAGCACTGGAATGGGTTACCTAGGGAGATGGTGGAATCTCCATCCTTAGAGGTTTTTAAGGCCCGGCTTGACAAAGCCCTGGCTGGGATGATTTAGTTGGGGTTGGTCCTGCTTTGGACTAGATGACCTCCTGAGGTCTCTTCCAACCCTAATCTCCTATGATTCTATGAATGACCGTCTGACTCCAGTGGTCCCAGACCAAAAGTCTCGGTAGCCCGTGCGAGAGAGCAAGGGGAATTTTTCCTCCTCTGCACAGGCGCATGGTCCAAGTGGCAGTCTGGCCCTGGGGGTAACTGCTGGTGGAATGATACAGTTCCTGTGAGCACACACAGGCTTGTACGTGTGCCAATAGCACAGTAGAAAATGTCTGTGGAGCTCAATTAGGCCATGTGTACCTGGGCAAAACGCCACTGGCCTCTGGCTTTGCCCCATTTCACCCAGGTGGAGTTTTCCCACTGCTGTTAGATGACTATGAAGGGATTGGATTTGTTTTGTCCTGCTAAGCACGTGCCATTATGATAGATCCCTGCAGGAACTCATCTGCTCAGGATTCGGCCCACAGCGAAAGCTGCTAGTCTGAGTGCGTGGGGTACCAGCGGGGGTTTCGCTGGCTGGCATATGCTGTGCTTTGAGATACATTCGGTTTGGTTTTGAGGCAGCTCTTTCCCGCTGTAAACTCTGCTGCACGGAGGGGTACGAAGCTGTCCACACGGCAGACAGAGCTGGCCCAGAATAACCACGCAGTGTTCCTTCGTGCTGAGTTTTATCCTCAGTGCTGAAAGGCAGAACTCCGGGCTCTGGTGTGTTTGTTGGACGTGCAACCCCCTCCCCAGCCATGAAAAAACGTAGTGAGGGGCCGGGTGGAAAGCAAGTACCCTCCCCCCCACACACATCTCCCCCTGCCTTCTCTTGGCAGAGGTCTGTCTCCATGCTGAAATATCCAGTGGCCCATCGTTTGAAATACAATGAACCCCATTTCCCAGCAGCCGCTGCTGTTTCCTAAAACTTCAAAACTTTAGTCAAGAAAGTGGTAACTTTCCCCCGGCTTTCTGAACTTTCACGAGATTCGGCTTTGGCTTTAAGACAAAAGTAAAGAAGCAAAAATGGGGATTTTTCCACCCAACTCTACTATGGTGGTGTCTAACCGACTGTGTTAGAGAACAAAATGGCTAGGTTGGTCTCTCCTCATTCAAAAATGCACCGGGACATCCATGTGTTACCCATCTAGCCATTTCAGTCCCTTCTTGCGCAGCATAAGGACAGCACTTTAGCAGAGTGGGGTGGAAATTTCACGTTGTTGCTTCATTATTTTTGTTCTCCAGCCAAAGCAGATTCTACATGAAACTTTACTGGGAGTTCTGTGTACAGGGATGTGTGTGTGGGTGTGTAATCTCTGCCTAATCTACTGGCACAGGAGTCGCTCAAGAAAAGCTAGAAGAAGAAACGCTCCCGTGATGTCTGTACAGGATCAGGTTTGGAGCCAGAGGCTGCGTTCCTTGTGCAGACTTTTATTTCCTGGAGTGGGGTGATCAGAGGTGGCGCGGAGTGTATTTTGTAGCACCATGCGCGCAGTGAGCATGGTTCTGGGTGCATCCAGGGCCTGCCGGCATCAGTGGAAAGATTCCAGGGGCGCTGGAGCAGGCCCCGGCTGTGTTTGCGTCGTTACCTGTTGAGTTGCACATCGCCGTCCGTGGCGAAAGGACAGAGAAGCTGGAAGGCCCGAAGTGTGGCTATAATGTAAATGTGGGGAGGAGAGAGCTGATTAAGGCCACGTGGGTGGGTGCTAGCCACCGTCTGGTTGGTTAGCTCGCGCTAGAGCTGGTTATCCCTCCGAAGAAGGGTCTTCCTGAAACCCAATCTCCCTGTTGGTCCCCAGGGAGCTCTTATCTAATTGGAATGTGTGTAGAACAACACAGCTGCCTGTACTTTCTGGGAGCCTCATTGTTTCCAGGAGGATGGAGTCAAAGGGGCCGTGTCCTTTCTGAATCAGTAATTGGGAGCCAGAGCTATTGACCCTCCTCTTCCCTTCCTGACCCCGGGGAATTTAAAGGGCATGTTGTGTGGACTTTAAAGGGCATGTTGTGTGGAATTTAAAGGGCACGTTGACTCTCGCACGGGGCAATCACCTGGGAGTGGAGAGCTCTTCCCACTACAGGGTGAAGCGATAGGGCGTGTGCAGGGTGTATGTGCTCTGCTTAAGGAGCCGCTCCTTGAACAAAAGCCTCCCCAGCCTCCTACCCTAAGCAAGTAAATTAGTTCCAGCTCTTGGGGTCAGAAAGCCAAGCTATTTAATAGAGGCCATAAAGGATCCAAAGGGGGACGCTAGCCAAGTGCAATAATGGGGTAGAGGAAGAGCCTTTTGAGAGCACAGCCGGGACCAAATGTGAGAGGGATTCAGAGCCTGCGTCTCAGGGACGTCTCCATGTCAGGGGCCTGTAGCAAACGAATTACACCAGGATCATGGCCGAGTCCGCGTAGCCTGGGCTGATTGCAGAGATGGGCGTGAAGACCCAGGTCCCAGCACCCCCAGAACTTTGGGGAGATTCAGATCCGCAGGCAGCTCCGAACAACGCAGCCAGCGGGGCAAAGCAAAACTGGGCCCACGCCGCCCCTCGCTGGGGGAAGGTTGGCGCTGGGGCTGGAGTTAGCAGCTGCGATTTGTAGGCAGGGCTGTGCTCTGGCCACAGCCAGCAGAAGCCCCGGCAGCCTCCCTAAAGCCAGGCAACGTGTGCCCGGGGGGCTTGGGCTGGAACGGTCCCAGTGCCGGTCCGATGCATTCTCAGTAATAGGATCTTGGGCTGGAGCTGCCGGAGTCACATCAACACTAGTGGGAGTTCTGGTGCTACAGCCACTCCTGCGTGCTGGGCTGAATCTACACTGTGCCGGGCAAGCATATCTCCGGCCCAGAGCATGCGCCCTGGTGAGTAAGGGGCTGTAAAATGCCCGAGTGCTCCCCCCATGTGGGCTTCCTGTATCACCCATCGCAGCCTGGTAGGACAGCAGCCCTTGCAGGGCCCCGGTTCCTGTGCAGGTCGATGGGGAGTGGGGGAAGTCACGGCTCCTTCCCAGCCCCCGTGCATTGGTGAAAACACAATCCAGCCACACGGACTCTGATTCATGGAGTCCAAGGCCAGACGGGACCATTGTGATCATCCAATCTAACTTCCTGTGTAGCCCAGGCCAGAGACCTCCCCCGGATAAGTCCTGCCACAGAGCTTTTAGGAAAACAGCCAACCTTGATTTAAAAATGGTCACCGATGGAGAATCCACCACGACCCTTGGCAAATTGTTCCCCTGGTTAATTACTCACCCTGAAAAATGTATGCCTCATTTCCCATCTGAATTTAGCTAGTTTCAACTTCCAGCCATTGGAATGATTTTGTGGTTTGCATTGGTTACCCAGGGGGGTATTCTGGGACCTGTCCAAATATGTAGTAGATCACACCTACTCCCTCTAGCTGATAACGATATAAATTGGGCTGGTCTTCCGGCTGGTTTTCAGATGGGCCAATGTAGATCATGCCAGTTTCCATCAGGAAAACACAGAAGCAGAGGAGATTAAATCGTTTTAATTACGATCTTGGTTGAAAGCTGGCGAGTCTTTACTCATGTCTTACGGTGTGGTCAACAGGAGTTTCACTTGTGTAAGAACTGACGAGAAACTTCAGGGTTTGGTCCTGACTGGTCTATCTATATTTAAAGCTGGTGGAACTTTACCATCCTGGAAATTCCTTTCGTTGAGTTTTTTGGTGTTGTTTCTAGGAGACGTAAACCAACAATTCTCGATTTCATCGCAAACTCGCAACAGGTCCGGAGAAACCTTTTCAAAAGCCCCTACGTCACCTAGGCCCAGATCCTCAAAGGCATTCAGGCACCTAACTCCCATTGACTTAGGCTCCTAAGCCACCTAGGTGCTATTGAAAATGGGAATTAGACTCCTAAATCACTCAGGTGCTTTTGAAATTTCTACCCCAGGGCTCAATCCAGCATCCATGCAAACTCCGTGGGAAAGACGCCCTTGGACTCCACTGGGTGCTGGGTCAGGCTCCTCACCTTTTGAATTGATCTTGCCAGTGAATTACGAGGTTTTAGGTAGTTTCTCTAACCTAGAGACAAAGTCCAAAGCCGAATTCAATCTCTGCCTGACTTCCCTAAACAGGGCACTTCAAGAGCCAGTTCTGGCTTTGCCCGGGCCCGTGCATGGGGCAGCGCATTGGAGCAGCCTGGGGGCAGATTGTTTCGAGTCACACTCTGCGTCCTGGTTTCCTCCTGCTCTGTGGGTGGGGGGGACACCCTGGCACAGCTGCGTTGGCTGTTGTGTTGGCTGGAGCCAAAGCTGCGCCACGTGCAGGAGGGGCCTGTATATGGGGAGCCCGTCTAGTGGATTAAGGGGGTGCCTTCCACCTCCTTAGTGCCTATATGGGATGCAGGACAGAGCAGCCTCCAGCCCTAAATTAGCCAATAGCTGCATCCCCAGCAGCACTTACTGTAGTTCGGTCTTTATTTTGGGTAACCGGCTGTGCACGGGTTAGCTGTAGAAAGGTGCATTCACTCACTCGCTCGCCATTGTGTGCCTGGGTCTTTCTGCACCTCTAGGACATAATTCTCCAGAGCTGCACTGACCTGGGATGTTCTTCCCCCTCTCTGCGTCCGGCACATGGGGATGCAGAATACCTGGTGGGTTAGAGAACTTGGCCCTTCTGCTCTGTGTGCGAGTGATACGGTGGTCAAGGGGCAAGCTGTAGTTGCACTAACGGCATCTTCATTGCTTCGCACATGCGATACAGCTGTGTGCCCTGGGAAGGCAGTGTGGGCTAGTGGGTAAGGCCCTGGACTTGGGAGCCAGGAGTGCTGGGGTCTGTTCCGAGCTCTGCCACTGCCCTGCTGGCTGACCTTGGGCAAGTCACCTCACTTCTGTTTCCCTTCCTTCCCTTTGGGGTAGGGACTCTCTCGCTATGTGTCTCTGCAGTGCCCAGGGGCTCTGATCTCAGTGGGGGCCTCTGGCTTCTCCTGTAATATAAATACCCGTCCCGTGGCGCCTCATCCAGGTTTGCCTTTTGCTTTCTGGCCAATCTAGGTGGCCCCGACTTGAGCACAGCGAACCCCTGTTACGACGGCACCCATGCGTGTGACACGACAGCGCGGTGCCAGCCAGGCACCGGTCTGGATTACACCTGTGAGTGCACGGCCGGCTATCGGGGAGACGGCAGAGACTGCGTGGGTAAGTGGAGAACACCGCTAGCGGCTTCTTTTCGGGCGCCGGCGTCAATTA